AGCCCAGCTTGAGAGTGGGATCACTTACACCTGAGAGATATTTGAGGCGGTCAAACTCCCTTCTCACACCTCAACTGCCTGACTTATCAGCCTCTCAGCTCCATCTGCGTTTTCAAATATTCATGAGTGTGCAGTCGGTGTCATCTCAGGATATCTAAATGGGAGGCCAGAGGCAGAGGGAAGCCACCCAACTATGAAATCCTTAGGTCCTCTACAAATGTTTAACCAGTCATCTATAAACCTGATTCTGTCAAGTTTCCTCCTCATTATTTTGACCCTCTTTTTGCCATTCTAAGGCTTTATGGTAATATCATCTCAATGCGTAGAATACAAAATGGCAAATAGTTTTTTTTTCATTGGTTTTCATCATGTATGCTTGTCTGCATTTCACTGCAATGAGTCAGCCTGTGGCACCACATGTGCCACTTAAAGCTGAAAGTGATATCTACAACTTTTGACAGCTGATTTGTACACATATACAAATCGCTCCCAGGTTTAGAAAAAAGAAGAAAAAAAAAGAAAGACGAAAGAAACATTAAATGACCGAGTCCTGACTGAGTGGTTTTCACTCTGCCACTTAAAGCCACTGGGGGCTGATGCATTGTGCCAGCTCATGTTCAGGGTCACGCCTGTGCAACTTAAGGAGTCTCTAATGAGAGCCAGACAAGCACGCCGTGCCCAGTGGAGCAGAGCTGGAAATCTAACAGACAACCACAGCACACAAGTGTTGGTGCCAAAATGAAAGAGAAAGAGAAAGGAATAAAAAAGGGTAGATCTTCAGGTTTTGCAGCAGCACCACACAGGGCACATTTTTGAGACTGTCATAAAATACGACTGTGTTTTATGTCTTAGATTTTGCAGGAGGTTGTAAGACAGCCCATCATTCAAAAGTTGGTTTTCTGAAGGCAGCAAGGAATGAGGAAACAAGTAAAATGTGTGAAACTACGCTCAACAGGACCTTATCTGTGAGGCTTTCTGTTCAGCCTTGAGCCTTGACTCTCAAAGCAGAGCATGAGTGAAATGCTCTAAAGTGCTTTACACCGAAGACTGACAGGTGCCCTTCAGAGTTACGACTCACAACAAGGAGTGGAGAACAAATGAAAGACAAAGGCTAAAACAGAAATCACTTTGAATGAGTTGTTTCAATTGTGTCCCATTCAGTGCTTGAAAATGAAGCATTAAACCTTCTTTACAAAGCTCTCAACCTGCTTTTAAACTAAATAAGTTCAAATTTCAGCTGTAAATATATTATTAGAAAAGAAATTGGGCTTTTAACACCAACAAATCAGCATGTAATGAGTATTCAGATACATTCCTAGCCAGAATACATAAAACTACACAAAAGCATGCCAATAAAATAAAATAAAATAAAATAAAAAAATAAAATCTTTCAGTTATAAAATCTTCCATCATCCATGACTTTCTTGGTCCACTAGCTCATTTCTCATCCAGACGGTCCTGGTTCTGCAACATCTGATGCAGACCTTGTTAACCCGGATGATGTCTGAGCCGGCCTGTCATTATATTGTCCCTCATTAATTACACAACAAAGGTTGCTCAGAGTTTGGCTGAGTCAGAGTGTGAAACAGAAACCACTGATCTCACTACACCAAAGTCAGTCAGGATTGTGACCTGTCCAAACTTTTAGAGTGGCCCCAACAAGTCAATCAATCAATCAATCAATCAATCAATCAATCAATCAATCAATCAATCAATCAATCAATCAATCAATCAATCAATCAATCAATCAATCAATCAATCAAAAAGTTCACAAGGCAGATTTTTATTATCATACCCACAATTTATTCATAGATTCTTATTTGCTGAAACACACTGATTTGGTAGAGCTTCAAATTGCACAATTTATAAATAAAGTCAGAGACAAAATATTACCAGAAAATATTCAAAAATTATTTTCTGTTAGAGTGGGGGGATATGACTATAGAAATGACCTCAACTTTAGAACTCTGAAGGCTAAAACAACAAGGAAAAAATGTACATTTCTGTCGTTGGTGTGAAGATCTGGAATAAACTCGCTAAAAAGCTGAAGCAAAGTACAAGCATGAGGTATTTTATGAAAGAACTCATGGTTATTCAAAAGTATAAGGATTAGCAAAGGGGATGAACCTGGCTGGGAAGTACAGCCTCGTGGATGATCTCAACAACTTGGTGCAGGTTTGTGCATGTGTGTGTAACTATATATAGGTGTGTAAATTGGTGTGTATTATTTAGATATATGTGCAGATAGATGAGTATGTATATATAGGTGTGTATGTATTACTTTCATCTGGTTTTGGAAATATTACTATAGTTATTACTATTTCATTTTTCTGTGAGGAATGATACTGGAAATTGGAAGACAATGCGATGAATTAGAAATGGAAAAGAGGTATGATTATATAAGTTATACTTTATCATACTCCTTTTCAGACTCATAATCACTGAATAAATGGTGTGTTTCCATGTAATTGATTATGTACATCATAGTAAGGTATGGTGTTTTATTTTTTTTGGCACTTGTCGGTGAAATGTTTTGTCTGAAATAAATTATCATCAATCAATCAATCAATCAATCAATCAATCAATCAATCAATCAATCAATCAATCAATCATCAATCAATCAATCAATCAATCAATCANATCAATCAATCAATCAATCAATCAATCATCAATCAATCAATCAATCAATCAATCAATCAATCAATCAATCAATCAATCAACTTTATTTATAGAGCACATTTTAAAAACCACAAGGGCAACCAAAGTGCTGTACAGTAAGACATAAGCTAAGACAATAAAAGAAACATAAAACACATACCAGGTTCACAGCAGGTGTGCATAATTTGCAATACAAGACAAAATCATAGTGTGTTAAAAGCCAGAGAATAAAAGTGTGTTTTTAAAAGAGATTTAAAAACTGGAAAAGATGAAGCCTGTCTGACATTAAGGGGAAGATTGTTCCACAACTTGGGACCGACAACGGAAAATGCTCTGTTGCTTCAATGTTTCCACCCAGTTTAAGGGATGATCAGCTGATCTTAGGGATCGTGGTGGGCAGTAAGGTTGAAGCAACTCTGACAGATATGGAGGAGCAAGATTGTTCAAACATTTGAAACAAATAGCAGCAGCTTAAACTGAACAGATCCCAGAAACAACCTCAGTGAAATTATGACCAGAAGAGCTCAGTCCTGGGAGCAGCTAGGATACTGCATAGAACCCATAAGCACAAGGGCTCTGGTAGAAAACGTGAGCTTGAAGACAAATAGAACCGCCCATGTGGAAAAAAGTAGGGCGAGCTGGTTGCTTTATATGTATCCTAATATTATATGGCATATATTATATATAACAAGAAATGAATGATAATATATGACATGCATATATAAAACAAGAAAATTATATTGTCTTACTTGGTATTCCCAACAAGTTATAATCTGTAAAATAAATTTTAAAGAAACTTTTTAACAGGCCTAGATGCCATCTTGCATAAATGATTTTTATTGGTTCACCTAACTAATAAAACAAGTACAACAAATAAACTAGTTGCTTGCATGCAGTACAGGCTCACAGATTTTATTAATGTCCAACACCTTCAATGTCCAAAATAAAATAAAAAAAAACAATAAGACAAGTAAAGAGTGGAAGATTTAAGATTATTAGTAAGATGGTAGGGTAACTGCAATACTTTATTTCTTTGACAATATTATTAAGGTTAATCCAGCTACTCCAGTAATTTAGTCAGAAAAAAACATATTACAATGACCAGTGCTGGAGATGAAAAACTATTGAGGAAAAGTACTTGAATATGGCATCATATCAAGATTCTTTGTATGGGTTCTTCACCTAAGAGGAAATACTGAAATTAGAATTTTTTTTTTTTTTGGTTATAAAATGACAGTAAGCAGATGATCATCATAAATTTAACTAAAGAAGAAATAAACTGTATATCATTTAAAAATAATAATACTAGCCCAAATCACACAGACCAAAATGGTAAAATCTTAAGATTAAAGAAGTAAATCAAGCAAGTCACGCTGCCTGACTTCTATGAAGCTTGAACTGGCCTATTGTTAAAATATTGACCTTCTTTTATTATTAAAAATCACATTAAATTTGCACTTGGATGTGTGCTTAAGTACTACTTTTGAAAAATAGATGAGCTGAGGTCACAGGACTCCTCATACTTGAAAAGGTTGGCTGTTGCTTTCTAGACTGGAAATAAGAAGTGGTCCCCACAAACAGGAAGTTATTACATATTGGTTTAAATATATGTATTTCAAGTAACATAAACACTCTGCTAAACAGCTACAAAAGAATATGCAAAAAAAAAGTCTTAAATTAGAATGTTTTACATGTTCAACTACGAAGTACTGCTTTAAGAGACTCCTAAGTCATCACAAAGCTCATTAATGCTTCATACTCTCAGTTAGACCAAATTAAGATGTTGCTGTCCTTGTTTGAGACAGTTGTTTGATTAGGATCAAACATGCGCTGCACATCAAAAAGTCTGTTCTAAAATTCTGTTTTGAATGTCTAAATCATAGATCCCGGCTTATTCAGGATTCTATCTCTGGCTTTTCTTCTAGTTCCCACGGATGTGCCTGTGGGTTTTCCCAGGAGATGGGCTGCCATGCTCAGATACTCATCGCAGGCTGCGTAACCTTCTCTTTCAAAGATCCAGGCAGAGGTTTCAGGTCTGGGGCTCACTAAAATGAATGAGTACTGAAACACTGCTCAGTTCAGAGCTCAACCTTCCGCGCCTCTGACTCTCCAGGATAAAATTAAACATAATGGGATTTTGAAGTAGACACTGCATGTCATGATGTTTATGTCCCGCCCCTGGGGAGTTTAAAGCGTTACAAATCAACACTTGAAAAATGACTGCTTCACAGCCAGCTTCAAACACATTGTCTTCATTATCCGTCTCACTCTCTTGATTTTTACCATGCAAAAAATGATACAGTGTGCACATGCAGAGGAAAAAACAACAACTATTTACTCACTGATTCCTGGCTCTTGTTTTTTGCGTCATACACACTTAGCTTGACTAGCGTCTCCGGGCTTTCAGGATACTCTGAAGGGAAGGTCACCCCTGTCAGAAACAGCGGGTCTTTGTTTGCCTGTCAGAGAGAGGGATGACAAAGAAAACATAAATAAATTGAGACACTCTGTGTGTGTTTATATGCGTGCCAGTGCAAATCCTCTCGTGCACATTCGCTCGGCAGCACAAAAAAGAAGAAAACCAAGAAAGAGAAAAAGGAAGGAGGAAGATTTAGTTAGGTGAAGAAGCTAGCAGCTGGGTCTGAGTGTCCTGCTTCCCTCAGGCGATTCTCTCTCTACCCTCTCACCTTCTCAACTACCTCTCCTGAGCATAAGCAAAGAGAAGATATGGCTTTCTCTGTTGGGTCTACCTGAAGCCCTGGCATTACCACAGTCTCCAAAGTGGGACTTCAGGACAGAGGCAACAAATGTTGACAGGTAAGCTGATGCACAGGGGAGGCCTGGTAATGGGATTAAACTCGATAAAGCAGCTGGTATTGGGATTTTAAAGATACCTGAGGGCTGCATGGTATTAGCTAAAAATGCACTCAGAACATCACCAAACCCACTTTAAACTTCAATGGGGCTTAAATTACCATAGCTTCTAGAGACACTGCTTTCTGTTGAATGTCAAAAGGAATCAGCTAACTGTGGTATTTGCTTGTGTTTGCGAGATAATGTCAAGCCTTTTGAAAACCCCAGAAGTGGCAGCAGATTGGGGAATGGCACATCTGCTGTGGAAACTGCACACTTGTAAATATGCTCTATGGCTTATTGTTGACAAAAGACTAAGGGATGTGAGTAAAGCCGAGCTCATAACCTGCCTGTAAGAACTGGGTGCAATCACCACAAGAAGGGTTAGAAAACCAGATATACGTATGTGTCATTTGTGGGTCGCCATGGGCATGGAAGTGCGGGGGAAAGTGGACCTCAGTACTCAGGGCCCAAGAAGGGAGAGGGGCCCATGGAAGTCCTGATTTTTTTCCCCCAAATAAAATTGGCCCTGCAATTAATTGGTGCAGTAATTTATTGAAAATATATTGATAACATAAACTGAGAGAATGAACTATATTTCACTGTCCACAACATATTGGCCATTCTGGGGTTCCCTTCTTGGAGGCGAAAATGATTTAGTCTGCTCAGAAGCAACTGGCAACATGTGTTACGGCAGTAAGCCCAGACTGAATGAGCTGAGGGCAAACTGAGACCGGGACAGACTATTGGAAGAACCGGGAGGTTTCCCATGGTCTGCCTCCCTGCTGGCTGGCTAAAAGCTCCGGTCAATCTAGAACTTTTAAATAAACAATCTGGTGGTGTCGATGCGCCTCAGTTCAGTCCTGCGTCTGCCAGACCTGCTATGTGTCCTGGAGTCCTACACCTACCCCCCCTTTCCCCGTCCCTTCCTTTTATCAGGCTCGACGCGCACACAGTGCAGAGTCACACACACTATGCAGACACACAACGTGGTGATGAATTCTAAATGCTCCTAGAGCTGCAGCAGGTAACATCAGTCTCATTAACAGAACATCCAACTTTTGATAAAACTTTATTCTTTACAAAGAACCAGAAATAAGTTCACAGGGCATCTGCTTTTCTTATGAAATGTTGGCTTGCTGCTATAGTCACCAATCATAGCTAATGTTAGCAATCACATTTAGTGATCACGTTTAATCTATTATTGAGTTATTTTTAATCATTTAAGCTGTATTATAATACTAAGATTGAGTCCAGGTCCACTGTGATAATTATTGATTATAATTTACAATAATAAATCACCAAATATTTCTGTTATTTAGTCAACTTGCTTCGGTACACTTGTTTATAGTAAAGATTATAAAGCTTAGTTTTCATAATTCAGATTTTCCTGGTTAAATAAAGCTTAGTAAATAAATCTGTCAATCCATTCATCATTAGCTTTCTAACCAGTTCCAAACATCCATGTATCAATTGTTCCTAATTTACATGCAGGTTGATGAAACTGACAAGTTATTTTTTTACGTCACCATTGTTTGACACAGTGTTATTTAATGTTGTGATGAAAGCTGCGTGATGCTATGTCAGTTTATGAGTGGACCAGTCATCAAATCAGAAAAAAGTCAAACACCCCCTAAATTCACTGTTTGTGGTTATCATAATTACACTTGTTCACTGGATAAATTTATTAATGATTTCAGTTTTAAACATGCAGTTGTGTGTCATTGTTTGACACAATGTGTTGTTATAAATAAAATTAAATGAATAATAACAAAATTAATGTAAAATCTCCTCTAAGCCTGTTTGAGATAAATTATCACATTAATTTAATTATCTGAGCCATAAGTGAGTTTAAAAACAGGACGATGTAACTAGTTTACTGAATAATCTGTCTCTAGTTGTCCCTAATTAAGTCTTTATTTGTGTAAGTAAAAGTATCTTTAACAACCTGTTAAAATACATTAGAAATAAGGAAATAGCCTCTACTTTATTCAAAATTGTCTGGGGGAGGACCCCCTGACCCCCCCTCCAGTGTGTTCTTTACACACATTGCTGATGCTCCTGTTAGAGAGGATAAACACACCTGTAGTGCTCCACCTGCGTCTCTGTATGAAACTATGGCCGATTGTCAAACTATATTCTCAGTGAGTTTAAAGGATTGATACAGTGCATGGTTTAATAAAGGTGAACATAATCTCAGCTAATATGATTGGACCATTATTGCATCACAAAAGAAACATTTGGTGTTCAGTTTGACATGTTCAGACAGTTACATTGAGCACACGTCATTTATCAAATGAATACCAAACATTTGTCTAATGTTCAAGAATAAATGTTTTTAGGTTAAAATTTGCTCGAGTGTCATGATCACAAACTAGATGTAGCAAAATGTTTTAGGTATTTGAACACAGGTAGGCCAAATGCATCAATTCAGCTGGTGAATGAAAGAACCATCAATGTAATCTGATCTGATTGTAGCTTAAACCCTTTTTATTTTTTCTTTATTTAAAAAATACCCCCTTTTTTTCTTGTTATGCTTATGTACCTTGTGCACTGGCATGGATAGAGGCCCACTGACATCGAGAGTGTACAGGGCCGAGAATTTTGTGCTACACCCCTGTGGGTAAGTGTGGCACTTCTGATGTACGTGAATTGTACAGACCATGTATCACTTGTGTGTCATAACCCCCTTCTCCGTTGTCTCACTTTAACCATATCTATTCAGTTCATCTCAGGTGTGTGTCACCCTGGTAGCGTGTCCCTCACTCCGTGGGCCGATCATCAGCATACAGCTCAAGCCATTATGGCTTTATTGTCCGGTAGGCTGACTTTTTTTATTAGTTGCTGCACTGTTTATAGGTGTGTTTGAAACTGTGGGTGGCCAATTTGTCCAAAACCTCCCAGTATATCTGCTAATTTCAGACCTCGCCATCTAGCTCAAGCTGTAATGCACTCGTATCCTGCATCTCTATTCAGGAAGAGTTTGCAGGAGGAGTTTGCAAGTTCCGCCTCAGTTCAGTCAATCCACGGGCAGCAGTCTGCTGACTTGAAATCACTACTTCGCAGTATTCAGTTTCACCTGCCTAGAAGCACTGCCAAGGTGGTTCTGAAGGTGCAACTGGAACCAGAAACTGAGACATATTTGATGGAGGCTGATCAGTGAGAACTACTTAAAAAGCACACCTGTGGAGAATGGGATTATGCTGTTCTTGCATAGCCTATTGTTGTACTCTTGACTTAGTTCAAGCATGCACAAGAAGTACACGTTCTGTCTGTAATGTAAGCATTTTTTTATTTTTTTTGCAAGACTCGTAAAAATTGCATGTGCAGGGACAAAAGTCTTCATGGACAATGTGCAACTTTCTATAAGGCTAAACACATGCAAGTAGTGGACAAATCTCAAGTTCACTTTGGGCCAAATTCTTTTCTCGGACTGCCTGCATAGCATTTTAAGTGCAAAAGCTTATTATTTATTTTTAATCACACAGATGCAATATTCTAGCAAGCACTGCTGAATGCAAACTGGGAGCTATAGTAGTTGAAAATATTGCCCGATCTTATTTGGGAAAACTGTCCACTCCCCAGCATTCTGCTGTGGACTCCATGTTCACAACAAAATGCATTTAACGGCTAAAAAAAGTGGATTTTGCATGATATGTTCCCTTTAAATGAGTTTAAAAAAATTACACCCACTTGTCAAACACTGATATTACATCAACTTAAACTAAATACTATTGCCGTGTTCAATTGAGAATTAAAAAAAAAAACTCTAATAATAATTGATTCATATAAAAGTATGTTTTTCCAAGATGTGTGTTGACAAAATAAGTTTGGTACTTACCGTAAAAGAAAGTTTTAAAAAATCAATTGTTTGAAATTGTGATTTGCAGCTTCGCCTGTACTGCAGACAGATTGTAAATGTGTAAATGGCTCTAACCAGATTAATTTATGGTTGATTTAGATGTAATTTGGATGTCTTTTTTCAACTCAGTTTACTAACACTCTACTCTAGTTGTTTGGTCAGGTTTACTCATTGAGAAATGTGTTAAAATTAGTCAAGAATATCTAACTGTTTTGAGTTAAAAAACAACTGTGGTAGCTTATATTTATAAAACATTTTTAAATGTATAAAATCAAGCCCTAAGCCAAAAATATATGTGCTGCCTCAGAAGCTGTGGAAGAAAAAAAAAGTCTGAGTTGTTTGGTCAGTTGGTGTTGTCTATTTGTACAAGTTCAAAACATTTTGTGTTTACACTGGGGGCTTCCTCTTCCTTCACTTTGCTCTGATGGGCGTCTCCAGCATGCAAGCCTCTGGGACCATAAGGGGAACAAATGAGGACTGGCAAGGAGACAGACGTATACTTGCAGACGTTCACATATATGACCCCACCCATAAGTCAGAAAAATCCTCAGAATCAAATCTAAATTTGGGCAGGAAAGCTTAAAAGAATATGACATGTTCCAGGATAAACTGAAGAGTGTCGCTGAGGAGAGAGTGTTTCCTTCTTGAACCTGTTGCCATTGCAAGCCAACCACGAAGAAGCAAAATAAAATGGATGGAATTAAATTGTTTCTCAAAACCGAGGGCATTCAAAAATCAATTGAA